TTAGCCACTATGCTACCAGAGCTGATATTAGTAATAGCTAATTACTTGCCAGGGGTCAGGTACTTCAGATTATGTATTAGTCATGGTTCTTCAGAGAAACAGAACCTGTAAGATTTATCTGTCTGTCTATCGAGACAGTGATTTATTTTAAGGAACTGGCTCACGAAGTTGTGGGGCTGGCAAGTACAAAATCTGTAGATCCAGACAAGCTGGGAATTCCAGCAATCGTGGGCCCAAAATGTCTAGGCCAGGTGGTAGGCTGGAAACTGGCAAGATAGCTGTTTTACAGTCTTCAGGCAGAATCCTTTTCTTCTTGGAAACCTCAGGTTCTTTGCTCATAAAATCTTCAACTGCTTGGGTGAGGCCCAAGCACGTAATGCGGGGTAATCTGCTTCATTTAAGGTCAATTGATTTAAATATTAATTACATGTAAATACTTTCATAAAAACATCTAGGCTAGTGTTTGACCAAATTACTAGGCACAAAACCTAGCCAAGTTGACATATAAATTGAACCATGATGGTTGGTCACTACCTGGCATACATTAGCTCATCTAACTGAACCCTCATAACAAGAAGAGGAATATAACAGATAAGGAAATGGAAAGAGCTTATGTTACCTGCCCTAGGTCACACAATCAGTACGTAGCAGAGCTGGGATTGGAATCGGATCTGCCTGACTCCAAAGCCTGTGCTCTTCACCCTGTGCTACTTCCCTCCCAGGCAATGCACCATCCCTGCCCTGCTCCACCCACCCTGCCTTGCCCTGGTGGTTGGCTTCTCACTTGCATGTGTAATACAATGAGTGCATTGGAAAATAGAACATAAAGGGTTTTGGCACGTTTTAGGAGACTGAATACACATCAACTTCTTTAATGATTTTCCTAATGTTGTTAAAGCTCTGGACCTTGGGTCTTATTTCTAGACTTGCAGGTCTAGAAATCAGAAGGGCACTTGTGGTATTAATTGGGGGATTTGACTGGAACCTGAGGTCTGTGAGAAATGAGCTCTGAAGATTCTGCAGAATCATGTCTGGTTGCCTCTAATATCTGGAGTCATTGGGTGATTATGAAATCAGGCCAGGACGCAGTTGAGCAAAGTTAGTCAGTCTTTGAAGAGAATATTTGCTGGTGTTAGAAAAAAATGTGCTGAATTCACACTCCCTCAGAGTTTTTGTTTCCCTCTACAAAATCAGGATCAAAACATACTGGCCATGTTGTTGTTAGTTGCTATCAAATTAGTTAGGTCCAACTCATGGAGACATTATGTATAACAGAACAAAACATTGGCCAGTCCTGTGCTATCTCCATGATCGTTCACATCCATTGTTGTGACCACTGTGTATTTTGAGTGCCTTCCAACCTCCGGTACTCATCTTGTAGTACTCCTTTGGACAATATTCTGTTGTGTTCCGTTCCGTTTCCATTGGCTTATTTTTGGCAGTAGATCACCAGGCCTTCTTCCTAGTCCATCTTACTGTGGGAGCTCCTCTGAAACCTGTCCATCATGGGTGACCCTGCTGTATTTGAAATACTGGCGGTATGTGTCCAGCCTCGTAACAACACACAGGCTACCACAGCCTATATAACAAACAGACAGACTAGGTTTGAATATTGACTGCATATACTGTAAAGAAGGGATATTGGAAGGTCAACAAAAAACTTTGAATTCCCTAGGCACAAGTTGTACCTGCATTTGAAAATCTCAGTGAGTGGTCACTTCTCTTAAATTTTTCTTTTTTTTTTTAAACTTTTCGTGATTTGGGTAAAAGTTTACAGAGCAATTTCGCTTTCCTTTCAATAGTTCATACACATTTTGTTTCATGACATTGATTACACTCTTCACAATGTATCAACTCCCTACTTCCTTCCAGTGGTTACTTTATAACCTATTTTTTTTGCATTGTTGGTATGCATTCCTGCCTCCCAAGCTTTCTCCCTGTGCAAATGTTGCCCTTCTGATCTCCCATGACTGATTTGTTCTAAGGAGCGCCCTTCCTAGTGTAATTGTTCACCTTATAGGCCTGTCTTTTGTTTGGCTGAAAGTTAAGCCACAGGAGTGAGTTCAATACCAGGCCCGAGAGGTGACTAAGAACCATAGTATCAGGGATTTCACCAATTTCTATCAGACCAGTTAGCCTGGTGGGTTTTTTTTTTTTTTAAATGTGTTTTGGTTTTATTCCACGTTTTTCCCCCACTCTATGTGGGAGTGGTAGAAAACTGAAGAAAAAACTCAAGCTTCAAATTGCACTATTGAGGGATTCCATGGGCAAAATATCAAACGTTGCAGGAAGCATCAGAATAAGATACAAGAAATACACAGAGTCACTGTACCAAAACGAATTGGTTAATGTCAATCATTTCAGGAGGAAGTATATGCTCGAGAACCAATGGTATGGAAGGAAGGAGTCCAAGCTATACTGAAGGAACTGGAAAAAAACAAGGCTCCAGAATTGATGGAGTACTCATTAAGATGTTTCAACAAATGGATGCAGCACTAGAGGCACAATGCCAGGAAATTTGGAAGCTACCTTGTCAACCAACTGGAAGAGATCCGTATTTGTGCCCATTCCAAAGGAAGGTGATCCAACTGAATGTGGAAATTAATATCACATGCAAGTAAAATTTTACTGAAGATAATTCAAAAACATTTACAGCAGTATGTTGACAGGGAACTTCCAGAAATGCAAGCTGGATCCAGAAGAGGATGTGGAATAAGCAATATCATTGCTGATGTCAGATGGATCTTGGCTCAAAGCAAAGAATACCAGAAAGATGTTTACTTGTGTTTTATTGACTA